CTGGTCCTCTCTCAGGCACGATGCTGGGCCATCCCTGAGCCCCTGCTGCCTCCGGCGTCTCCCAGGGCAACAGAGGGAGCTGGGCTCCTGGGAGGACTTGGGCTCAGCTTGAGACCAGAGGAGGTGGGTTTCTTCCAGACCCTGTGGCTGTCCCCCACCTCCTCGGATTCCAGATTCATCCAGGCTACTGACCTAAATTACTCAGGAGCCCTGATCTCTGGAAGATTCAACTTGAGGAGCCAGCCAGGGGCCCAGGAGCTGGGGTGGGTGGGACACTTGGGGGAATGGATGAGGCCGTGTAGGGACTAGACAGTGGGTAGGGAGTTGGGGGGCAGGTCCAGGTAGCAGGAGGACAGGGCACAGGAAACAAAAGGGTCAAGGACTCAAGGAAATCTGGGCTCCACTGCTGTTCCCACGGTTCCGATGGGCAGCCAGGCACCCGCAGGCAGTTAGATGAGCTCCGTCCCCCATTCGCTGCCGCTGCCTCACTGACGTGGCTCCCAGCCTCTCTGGGTCCAGGCGGGGGTTCTCCCCGGGTTCTCCGGCTCCCCCTGGAATTAGCCCAGGTGACTGCTGCGGGCATGCGGCAGGCATGGGGACTGGGTAGGGATCGGAACTCGAGACTGAGTTCCACCCTCTGTTCGGTGGCTGTTCTCCGGCACCTGTTCTGGGGCGTCGGTGTCCGGAGCCTCTGGAATGCTCGGCCCACCCTCCCGAGCAAGCCGGGCACCGGCCCCGCTGCCCTCACCTCATACGTGGGCCCTCGGGCCCAGGTCCCAGCCCAGGGCGTCTCCTCCCTGCTCCTCCGGGGCCGCCCCCGCGCAGCCCAGCCAGGGAGGGAGTGAGGCTGGGGTCGGGCCAGGGCCCTGACCCTCCGCCATGTCAAGTACAAATCCTGCCAGGCTCGGTTTCCAGAAACTGCAATCACGTCTTCATCCAGCTCTGGTTAAGCGCACACTGTGTGTGACTGTATTTCGTGTTTCAGTGCCCTACCTGGACCGCCACGCCCGGCCATCGGCGGGCCCCACCTTTGATCACACTCAGGGCTGCCCGGGCGGCCCGCTCTCCCAGCGTGTCCACTAACCCTATTCCGCAGCCCGGCTCTCCCCTGCCCCCCTCCAGCACCTCCTCTACCCCCGACACTTGCTGCCCAACAGGGCGCCGCGTTTCCTGGGATCTGGTTCCCCACCCTCCTGCCCTGCTGGGCGGCCAGGCCCCTGGCAGAGAGAACATGGATTTCACCCGGCCTCTGCCTGTGGTACATTTTTTTACAGTCCTCCCCAGAAGATATTTTTCTATTTATCTTTATCTTCAGATAGGGTGGGAAGGAGGCAGAGAGAGAGAAACATGGATGTGAGAGAGACACATGGAGTGGCTGCCGCCCGCATGACCCCGACCAGGGACAGACAAACCACAACCGAGGTACATGCCCTTGGCCAGAATCAAACCCGTGACTCTTCAGTCTACAGGCCGACACTCGAACGGCTGAGCCAAACTGGCCAGGGCTGCCTATGGTACTTCAATCCATCCTTGGCCCTGCTGGTAAAATGGGGGTTCACAAGGACACTGTCTCTGAGGGCTGGCATGACAAGGCCAAGCAGTGCAGCCGACGCTTCAGTCTCCCAAGAGGCGTGCCCAGCTTCCTTGAGCCACTGTCTGCAGCCCCCCAGGCCCCCGCGGCGCTGGGAGTGGGATCCCGTGGCCTGAGGGGTGAGGGGAAATGTGTCCCCGGGCCAGGGAGCACACCTGGGCTCGGGAAGGGCGCTTTAGGACAAAGTGAAGGCGCCCCAGCATTCGGAGACTGATACAAGCCGGGGTGAACTGTTCCAAGAGACTAAGGACAAAAATCGCTTCAAAAAAAGGTTTAAATGGGGGGGTGGGTTGAGGGGTTATTGGCCCCTGGACAGCTACCCTAGACCCAGAGCTGGAGGGAGGAGGGTCCTGGGGGCGCGGGTCCTGCTGGCCACCAGCAGGGTCGCACTAGGGCCCAGGCGGGAGGAGTGGGCGGAGGTGAAGGACGCCCGCCCTCCCCTGGTCTGGGCGCCTGCTCCTGGCTGAGGGGAGAGGAGACTGGTAGCGCCTCCTGGGCTGGGAACATGCAAACCAGGGAGGGAAGGGAGCCAGACCTTAAATGTCAGGAAGAGCCCAGGGCAACTGGGCTTGTGCAAAGTTTGCTTTGGGAAGAGCTGTTCTACCTGACAGGCCACTTGCTCAGCTGGGGCGCAGGGAGGGGCATGGAACGGGATGGGGTGGGGGGAGGGCCCCAGACCAGGTTTGAGCCCCGACTTCCTGGCTCTGGGACTAGGGCAAGTGACTCGGCTTCCTCTGGGACTCGGTTGTCCCGTCTGTTGAGTGGGCTGTCGAGCATGTCTGAGAGGGTCTGGGAAGACGGAGGAAGTGGGTGATGGGACGTCCTTGTGAATTGTGACGGCTGAGCGTACACGAAGGTGGCACCGGGGACAGGAGAGGGGATGCGGCTGAAGAAGAGGGACGGGAAAGGTGCCCTGGCCGGGGGGCTCAGTTGGCTAGAGTGTTGTCTGTACACCAAAAGGTTCAAGTTCGATTCCCAGTCAGGACACATACCTAGGTTTTGGGTTTGATCCCTGGTGCAGACAGGAGGCAACCGATCGATGTTTCTCTCACATGATGTCTCTTTCTTTCCAAAAAGAAAGGGAGGAAAGGGAAAGGTAATGGGGTGCAGAATGAGGAGAACAAAGGAAGAAGCAGGTGGTGCCGTGGGTGGAAGGGCACCAAAGGGTGGAGTCTGGGGAAAGCTGAGGATGGTGGTGAGGGCGGCCTGGGCCTTGCCCTGAGGTCACCTTGCTGTCTGGTCCAGTCTAGGTCCAGTCAGCTTCTCCCACCCCTCCTTAACCTCTGGAGGAGCCAGAGCCAGAGCCGGCACCCCCCGGACCTCAGCGACAGCCAGCCTGCCTTCGCAACCGCTCCAGCCTTCAAAACAGCTCCAGGTTGTCTCCTCGTGAGGCCTCCCTTAACAGGCGAGGCCGCCTGTCTAACCTCAGTACACAGGCAAGTTCGGGGGGAAGTGACCTGCCCAAAGTCCCACACTGTGGACCGTACTCATTCCTTCTTGCCCTCCACCCAGAGGGCCTTTGTCCCGCGTCAGCCTGAACGGACCTCTCAGGTTCCACTGAGGCTGCATCAGGTCGTTCGGCACAGAGCTGTGCTCTGCTGTTTCAGTGGAACTGGACATCGGCAGTGACCTCAGTGGTGAGAAGGGGGCTCCCTCCGGTCCCTCTACTTGCTGCCTAGGCCCCAATTTCTGAGCACTGATTGAGCACCTTCTGGGTGCCACCTAGTCCTTCGGGCTTGGTTGACGGAGCAGCTCTATCTACTTCAGAGAGTCCTTGTGAGAATCAAGTGGCATCGTATCTGCTGAAGTGTTATAATTGGGAACACACACGCGCGTCTGGTAGGGACTGAGTTTCAGCTCTGGATCCCCCTCTGTCTGGAGCAAAGGGGTCACTTGTCCACTCATTGTCCGGCTCTCAGAGGGAGGTGGTCCCGTAACCCGTGAGAGACCACCTCCCGGTCAAGGGGCAGGCAGGAGATCCTTGCTGGGCTAGCCATGGCCTCGGTCTGCCTATCTGGTGGGTAATCTCCTGCCCGTCCCTGCCCCCACCTCAGAGCTGGGCCCAGTGCCTGTTTGCTTTGTTACTCAGCTGAGCAGCTGGTGCTGGAGAGATGCTGCTTTATTGGGGGTGCTGTGAAGCTATTTATTGGGGAGGTGGGGGCAGGAAATGAGGCCAAGTCCCAGCCCTGGCCAAGAGGAAAAGAAAAGCCATGACCTCCATAGAGGGGACAGAAACTTGAGGCTTACAGCCTGGGTGTGGGCTGCTGGGTGAGCCCAGCTGCGAGAATGAGGCGAGAGAGTCCAGGGCTAGCTTGGTGGGCCTGGCTACTCCCTAACATGCACAAATGAGCGCACATACACACATGCATAAGCACCACATCCACGACACTTGCATGCACACACACAAGGAACACATGTGCATATGTCATTTATGTGCAGGTGTGGGCACATGAGTGTATGCTCAACACACATGCACACGTACACGCACACTCACATATATGTGCACACGTGCATGTACTCACATGCATACACTCATGTACACATATACATGCACGTGCATGCACACTCACACACACACAAGCACGCATAGGCACCCACATGCGCACCCACATGCATGCACACACATGCACATACACACACACACACACACACACACACATGCTCGCACCTTGTTCCACCTCAGGGGAGCCCCCAGCCGTCTAGACCCTTCCTCTTTCCACCCTGTCATCTTCACCACCTACTTTCCTCTCTTCCCACAGAAGGAATCTGCCAAATGTTAGCTAAGAGCACCGTCGAGGAGCCCTGTTTCTTTGCTCGTGTGCCCAGACCGGGTTGCACAGGCTCTGTGCTCCTCTGGGGACCCAGACAGCAGCTGGTTTCCTCCGCAGCTCCCAGCCGCCTGGTTCCTGCGCCCACCACGGCCCCTGGGCTCTGCGCTTGTTCCCGCTGCCCCAACCTGGACCCTGTCCCCGAGTTTCCAGACTCCAGCCAGCCCCTGCACACGGGCGGCTCCCTCCCAGGGAGCCCCTGCTCTGGGCCAAGCAGCCCTGCTGGCAGCAGAAGGGCTGCTGTGTTTCACTAACCGAGCAGAACGCCAGGTCTCAGGGCCGGCTCTGCCCCTGCAGCACAGCACCCAGGCCAGCAGGCGGGCTCAGTGTCGCCCGGGGGTGCCATTACAGACACAGGACTCACCCAGGCTCTAGGGTCGGCCCGGAAGGCAGACTTGGCAGCATATGGAGAGGCAGGGGCTACTGAGGGTGAAGGGCCCAGATCGCAGGGTCACTGGTGCCTGGGAGATCCCTTCTGAGCTTGCAAAGTGCACCTCCAAGTCCTCTCAGTCACCCGCCCCCCCCCCAGCGGACAGGAGAAAGCCCCATACAGGACACTCAGTACCTCCCACTGGACTTACCCGTTAGCTGCCCGGTGCCCAAGTTGCCTGCTGCAGTGGCAACCTCGGGGGCCAGGAGGAGGCGGGAGCAGCTTGGGCCACTACTGGGTCTCAGCCAGGCATCTGGGGAGCCCGTGGAACCAGGGGCCAGCAGGGCTGGGGGCAGAGGTGACACTCGGTCGGGCTGCTGGAGGCCTAGCCACCCTTGAAGGGTGGCCCTCTGAGGTCTCAGGGTTCTGTGACCTGTAGGGAACACCTGGTCCCCAGCCCAAGTCCACCTGCTGGCACTGTGGCAAGACCCAGCCAGAAGGGCTTACGGGGGCCTCGGTGGGCTCTAGGCACCGGGTCTGGGTCTTCGGGGCAGTGTGGACGCAGGTAGAGAGAGCGCAGGAATGTGCTGGGAGGAAGTCAGGCTACTGTAGGATGAAGAGTTGGCCGGGCCTGATTTCCCATTATAAGTAATCCTTCCTTATTTACCTGAACAAATACACTCCCTGCTTACCTCAGACCACAGGCGGGCTCCCGGTTAACCCTTGCAGGTCTTCCCCTCCTGGTTGGGGTAATCTACACCCTGGCATCCAGGGAACACACTGGTCCACTCACTCACTCACTCATTCATTCACTCGCTCACATTCGTCCACTAGTTGAGGCACAGCTACTGAGCTCATATTATGTGCGAGACACAGGGTGCGGATCAAGCGGGAGCGGGAGGGGCGCTCAAAGGATCCGCCAGGGTGGAGCACAGACGAGCAAGCAGCAGTAGTGGAGAGTCAGAGCCTCGGTGGAGTTGTGGGAGCCCCCAGGCAAGCAGGTCAGGGAGGCTCCCTAGAGGAAGTGCCGTCTGGCTCCCCAGGCCAGGGATGGAGAGTTTCAGAGATCCCCAGGAAAGGGACCTGAGGCTCATGGGCCACCCACCCGCCCGGAACGGGGTTCCCTGTGTCGCATGGGCACAGGTGCAGCAGAGTGCAGCTCGGCAAGGACAGGTAGCTAGCTTTCCCAGCCCAGCGCGGGATCCGCCAGGAGCAGCTTGCTCTCCCACAGTTCCTGAGGGGTGGAGGCGAGGAGCGGAGGTTGCGCGCCCCCACGTCCAGGCACCCACCGCCCAGGTCCCCCCACCTCCAGGAGTCCAGGGAGGGCCGCACAGTCGAGCTCTCCACTTCCTCCTCGTTCCGCCAGGTGGGATGAGGGATGTCTCCGGAGGACAGGGCTTGGCTCCCCTTTCTCTGGGACACCTTGGACGGCCACGGAGCACCTGCTACCCATTCTGTGAGAGGAAGGGCATTTAAATACTGTCTACTGTTACTTTCTAATTTCAGAAGGAACTGTGTCACTGCCCACAACATGTGAGTCCCAGGGCCTTCAGAATGACCCCTCACCTTAACTGATGCCACAATTCTCCGCTGCATGGCTTCACTTTCACCCTGGAGACCAGCCCTGGGCTCTCTGCTGTTGTCACCAGGACCCCGGTAAGGATGAGTTATCAGAGTCTCCAGAGAAGGCTGGGGCAGGATGGGATGGAGGAGGTAATACAAAGTCATAAAATGGCTACAGACAACCACCCTTGCTCTCCAGGGTCAATGAAAAGAAAGACCCTTCCTCCCAGGCAGGACCTCCTCCAGGGCACCTTTGTACCCTCTGCCCCGTGGGCAGGCGGCTCTCCTCTCCACCCACAGAAGCTTGTGCTTATAGCCACATTCTGATACAGTAGAAATAATGGCCGCTGCTCAGTAAGCACCTACTATATGCCAGGTACTGCTCATTGCTTATGAGATGTGATGATATTAATCATGTTATAAATACTATAACATGGGGAAGAACAAGGAATAGCCAATAAGTGTTTATTGACTGGATCAGGTGTCAGAGATAGTCACTCTCAATGTCCATTCTTACCTTTCCTCTGTAACAAGCCCTAATTTTCAGCTGGGAATTGAGACTATCCCAGACTCCCTTGCAGCTAGATGTAACTAGGTAACAGTGTCATGTGTCAATTTCAAGGAATCTTTCTTAAAAGTAAACTGGGCCCTGGCCGGTTTGGCTCAGCGGTTAGAGCGTCGGCCTGCGGTCCTGAGAGACCCGGGTTCGGTTCCCGCTAAGGGCATGTACCTCGGTTGCAGTTTGTCCCCGGCCCTGGTCGGTCGTGCGGGTGGCAGCCACTCGATGTGTCCTTTCACATCGATGTTTTTCTCTCTCTCTCTCTCCCTCCCACTCTACCTGAACAAAAAAATGGGAAAATGTCCTCGGGTGAGGATAAAAAAAAAAAAGTAAACTGGCATGGATCATTTGACCCTTTTTCTTTTTTTTTTTTTTTATCCTCACCTGAGGACATTTTTTTTTCCCATTTTTTTGTTCAGATAGAGTGGGAGGGAGAGAGAGAGAGAAACATCGACGTGAAAGGGACACATCGAGTGGCTGCCACCCGCACAACCAACCAGGGCCGGGGACAAACTGCAACCGAGGTACATGCCCTTAGCGGGAACCCAATCTGAGTCTCTCCAGACCGCAGGCCGACACTCTAACCGCTGAGCCAAACCAGCCAGGGCTGACCCTTTTTCTTTATCCTTCCTCACCTCGCTGCCTGGAATGCAGCTATGATGGCCGGAATTCCGGCCGCTGTACTGGACCATGGTGACAAGATGCTGGAGCAGTGAGCTCGAAGGAGCCTCAGTCTCGAGGACTGGAACCTCACGCCAGCGTCGGGCTGCCTGCCTGCCTCGGGGATTTTTTGAGACTGACAGACCTTTCGATTTTGTTAAGTTGGATCTTTTATTCTAAAACAAACCTGATCCTAGCTGAGAGAGACCAGAAGATGAAGAGATGGATGAAGATAAAACACTCCTGCAGCCAGAGAAAAGCTCTCGCTTCTGGGTGGCGGTGCGAAGGGGCCTGCTCACACCATGGGAAATCTGACCTTGGGAAATCTGCCCCTTCAATGCTGGTACAACCTTATTCTGGGCCCGAGGGAACATCTCATAGGTTTTCTCGGGGAAGGGTGGGCCCGAATGGACAGACAAGGCTGAGCTGTGCTGAGTGTGGGCAGTGATTCTACTTGCCCAAGTCTGGAATGGGGGGAAGGGTGTTTCTGGAAGCTGGAAAGTTCCGAGAGAGAGCAAGAAGAGTACCCCCTCTGCCCGGCTGGGACTCGCTTGGACTAAGGTGCTAAGAGGCTGCCTAGGGTAGATGTCAGTGGTGGGCTCAAGGAAGGTTTGGTGCCTGCCTGGGGCAACTCTGGGGGGCTCCAGGGAAAGGGAGGACCAAATGGGGCCCATCTTAATCCATGTGAGGACCCAGGGCGACACACACCCTCTCAATACCTTGATCCATCTAGCATGGGGTCGTGGCACCAGCTTGGGATTTGACCCAAACATGTCTTGGTTCTGTCACCTTCCAGCTTCAGGACTGGGTCAAGTACTTGAAACCTGCCGCACACTCCTGGTGCGCTGGGAGCCGGCGGGGCTGCCGCTGGGGAAAGTGCTCCGTGGACCCAGCCGCCTTGCCGACCCAGCCACGGGTGGCATCTCCCTCCCCACCGCGGCCCCTCTGGGGGACGCTGTCAGCCGTTTTTCATGTGAAGACACTGAGACCTGAATGTTTAAAACGTCTTGCCCAAGGTCAGTGAGCTGGGAAACAGGTTCAGACTCAAATCTGCCGTTTCCTCAGTCACCCACGCCTGGTCGGACCCTATTCTACATCCCATCCCCTCAGGGCCAGGGCCCAGGTCCCTGGCATGGGTCACTGGGTCCACTAGCCCCCTGCCTCCTGCCCACAGCTCCTGATCTCCTCTCCCCCCTCTGGCCTGTGCCCACAGGGTGAACCGTGCCCCCTGCTGTTCTCCCCCAGCCACACCCACCCATCTGTTGTGGGTGAGGCCTGCCCCATGCCGCCCTCTCCAGATCGCGTCTGGCCCGCCACCTGTGTTGGCCCAACGTGACTGCATCTAAACTTTCTCCTGCCCTGTCCCGACAACACATGCTCTCTTGCCACTGGGGTTTCTGAGCCTCTGGGGTGTGAGCGGGGAGCTGCCACCCCCGGGAGAGTGGGCTGCCGCCGGCCAGAGGACCTTCCTGACGGCTGTGAACACCTGGATGAACCGGCCACTTCCTTTTTCTGTTGTTCAAATGGATTTGAATGGTTTCTTCTACTTGCCAGCGAAAGAACCCGCGTCCCTCGGCCCATCTCCAGAGCCCCTCCCACGAGAAGCTCGCCACGGCCCCTCCAGCCCTGCAGACCCCCACGGTCCGGCTCCACGCTCTCGTTTTCCCAGCCTTTCTTTTCTTCCCACGATTCTAACTTCTCCAGGGCAGGACCCTGGAGCAGAGGGAGTATCAGACCCACCCACAGATTCCGACCAGAGCGGCTGCCCTGGGCTGCCCTCCCCACCTGGGTCCTCTGGCCACCAGCCCATCAGAGCGGACAGCGCGGACGGGCGCGGGCGCAGGCTTCCTCGCGAGCTGCCTTCCACCAGCGGTGGGTGTGATGACGGGCTCACCTCCTCGTGAAACGGAAACACTTGCCCTGCTGACCTGTGGCCGGGCTGTGACGAGTGAGTGACCATCCACAGAGGAAGTGGACGCACTTCGGAAAGGGCAGTCTGTCTTTTCCATCGGTCCGAGCCTTTTTTCCGCCCCAACTCCCCACCCTCCTAGGAGCTGCAGCCTGGAGTGGAGGGACAAGGCTGGGACCCACACCAGGCAGAGATGAGGCTGCCCCGTCCCGGGCTCCAGCTGTGAGAAGGTGGGGGGGGGGGCTCCCCTGCTGAGGTGTGAAGAACCTGGAGCAGGATGGACAGAAAGTTTGGTTTGTGGGACCCAGAGGCCATCCAGCCGTGTGGTAAGGGGAGACCCCGAGGCCAGGGAGCAGGCCGAGGGCACACGACAGGGCGAGGGCCCAGATCCAGGCTCCCACCCGTGCTCACTTGTGGCGTGAGCTGTCCTGTCTCATCCTCCAAGCCCAGCACCTGAGGGGTTTGTCGGCCTTCCCACACACAGGTGAAAACGGAGACTCCTTAACTTCCCCAAAGTCCCGGCTGGAAAATAGCAGAGGCAGGATTCGGGCTGGGTCCGTTGG